CCCCCGTCCTCTGGTTATTTTCAGCAACCTCTTGTTGCTTGCTATTTTGTGATTTTTATATTTAAAATTTCTTTAAACATTTCATCCATATTGTATTTTGGCAGTGAAATTTTACTATCTGAATTTAATGGGGGCATGAGACCTACTCTTGGTGATTGGTTTCCTTATGTGTGTGGTGATCCTTAGATAGGATCTCATATATTGTTCAGTTTAAAATATGGAAAATTTGGGAGCCTGAAAACTGAAGTTTTTTTGTTTGTTTGTTTTTTTAAATGCCACAGAGGATTTGTATTTGCATTTCTGACGAATTAGGATTTGTTACCTACCTAAGAACTTTCTAGGGTCCAGGCTTAATTTGTGCAGTGCTGATACAGATACTTACTCTCATGCATCTCCAAGTGTATACTGCTTACTCTTCAGGTTTCAGTTCAACCTCTTTTTGAGGGAATGGGGAGATGATGAGTGTGGTAAAGTTCTTACCGATTTTCCTTAGTTTCTTTGAGCTCAGCAGTGTGATAACAATTTTCTCCTGGATCTGTTGGGCCCTTCATGCCTACTGCTGCAAATGGATGTTCAATATTTAAGGTGCTTCTGTTGATATTTTTTATATTTACTTCCTCCCATCATATCCTGCCTCTATTTCAGTTTGGACTTTGATGCTTTCAAGTTCCAAGAATTCTCTTACATTACTATTGCAGTTTTTCCTAGTCATATTGTGTATGTACATTGCTCCCCCATTTCATTGAGAGCACACATTAAAAAATAAAAAAAAATTCTTTTGTGGCTTTCTGCATTAACTTTTTATTCTATTTGTCCCATTTGCTTTGATTCTCAGTTTGTGCACCTTTTGTGGAATATTTGAGTATCCTGATGAACTTTTTGATTTATCCTTATGTAGTTACATGTATAAGTGGAATTTTTAATTAGTAATTTTTGGTCGTGATTGTGGGCTTCTTTAGCAGTTGTACAAATTAGGATCATTTTCTCTACATAGGCTCTGTGAGGGAATGTGTACCTCTAGTTCTCCCTCTCTGTGTGGGTTATCCCTGGTGTATGGTAAATGAGCTGGAACAGGTTTTAAAAGTAGAATTATTTTTAGGGTATATGAGCTGGGAGTATACCAGCAGGGCTGGTGTCTTGCATGAGCAGGACAGGTGGGTGGAGAGCTTTGGGTCACAGAACTCTAACTTGATTTATCTTGTAGTCTATGCTAAGTCAAGAAAACTCTGGTGCAAACTCTTTACTTGTTTTAATTATTTCGTTTCTGGTGGACTGTTAAAATCCTATTTTTGTTTGCTGTGTTTTCTGAGCTGAGGTGTGTTAAAGGAAATTAGGAAAGAGTTGTGGGAGAGGTAGAGTGTGTTATTGTTTGTAAATTCTGGTGACCCCCATTTAGGAAGGTGTTCTCTTGTCTTCACTTTGGGTCCTCTGGCTCCTGCCCTGCCCTGCCCTGCCCAGCCTGGTGGATATTTCTGAGTTGAGAGTGGTTTACTGACTCCTAGAAGTCGTAGTATTCTTGTGTTGACTTTGAGCATTTTCAGTAATCTAATTTCTAAAACTGTTACTATATTTTCCTTAGTTTTATATTTCTTTGGCCATTTTAATGGG